AAATAAAAACTAATGAGATGTATAAATTAAATTGTCACTGGTCTGAAAGCTGCGTGTTGTTCTCAGTCAGGCTCTGTCGCCTTTAACTCGCAGCTAAATGCCTCTAAACGTGGCCTCGGGAGCGTCACATACACTGTGGCCTGAACACGACTGAGGTTCTCTGAAAGTAGAGCAGCCAGTGAAAGAGTCTTTCATGAGCGAGGGCCCTGAGCCAAAGAAAACAGCACATTATGACAGCAACATCAGGGCCCACACACTCCTGGCAAAAAAACGATCCTTCTCTGAAATGCACCACCAAGTGGCTTGTTGGTTATTTAGCTAAAAACACTGTCTCACAGCAACAGAGTCCAATTTGAACTTTAATTTACTAAACCAGCTTACCTCTTCGTCTCCTCCGACCAAAACCCTGAGCCGGTGTCATCAAATTTACCTCCACGACCAGCCCTGAGCTCTAATGTCTCGTTCTGCTCATTGTTTGTGGTGCAACTATGACAAGGGCTTGTTCTAGAGCAAGTGAACTTTAACTGGACTCGGAGGATTACGATTCAGTCCAAAGGGGCAAATCTTGACGGAGGCCAACCAGTTAATGAGGTCGCCAGTTCATGGAGTGGCCAGGCACCAGAAGTCAGGAAAACATTTGCACAATAACTTCACCTGCGTAAAGGTGAAAAGCCTCAAACCCTGCAGGATGAATAGTTAAAAGGAAAACCTGTGGCCACTATAATGACTTGATCACTGCATAACAGGTAAACTCCTGTGACGCAATGAGCCTCGAGTGCTCTGACCAGACCGAGGCCAGAGATCGGCCTGATAACGACGGCAGAGCAGTGAACTCTGGGGCCACGGGAACCTTCACTTACTCAGACTCTCTGTAACATTAACTGATTGAACTCCCTCTGGCCTTCAGTCCAGAATAAAGCATTTAAAGGAACTGCAGTGAGAACTGCAGAAATCATCAAACAAGACACTTGAGACTTTCTCAGTACAGCCCAGCTGCCTTGTTGGTTGGCCGATAAAACTTTTGGAAAACATTTTACATGAAAATAATGTTCATTATCTTTATTCAAGTTCTGTATATTTGGTTGAGTTTTCTTTCATTTATAGTTTAAATTGTAATAAAAAACATTTCATATACGTTTGATAACAACATCTTAGGGATCATTAGCAAATATATATACAATATATATACACATCTGCCTATATATCAGTAACACTAATAAGCATTACCCTAATATTGCTATCAGCATCAATCCTTTAAAATCCATATGAATTGTTTGTTTGTATATGCATCTATTAGACTGTAATGTGTCTACTTGTTACTCTCTGTGCCACTGGGACACTGTGCAATGACGATAAAGGCTTTGATTTGAATATCGGTCGGGCAAATTCTCAGAGTCAAATTGATGATTTCCATATATTTTAGGTTGTGCTGTAAAAACCTACTTCAGTCTTAAATGCTTGATTACAAAGTTCACTGACACTTTCAGGGAGGTATTAATTCAGCCATAACAAACTTGTTTTCTGCCGAGGCTGTAGTTTGCTTTACACTGGGAGGTGTTTCTAATGTGCCCAACCCATCGGCAAACATGAAGGCAGAAGAAGACAAGAAACAGCTTCTACTACAACTTCATGAATAATTATGTATTGGAATTAATATCAATAACTCCTGTTTCATTAGATCATTGAGGCCAGAGCAGTCATTTATAAAATCACTAGATATTTATAACAGTATTGTAATCTCCAGATACTATACTAATCAACTCTACTAACTGAAGACTGAATTATAGTGACGAGTCGTTCCTAACAAGGAGGATTTACGGGTGTGAAAATGTCAAGTGTTTCTGCTTTGAGCTCCGTGAAGGAGGACATCTGGGATGGTGGGCCTCAAGGGGAGAAGATCAAGGAGACAGCAGTGTGTGTGTGTGTGTGTGTGTGTGTATACTTTTTTTTGTTGCCTCTTTAGGACTTTCTCCAGCATAAACACTGACCTTGTCAGGGCCAGTAGACCTCATGGGACCAAAGCTCAGTCTTTATGAGGAACAACTTCATTCCTGAGCTCCTGGTTACATTTAGGGATTAGATGTGAGTTGTGGTTAGGTTAAGATTAGGGTTTGGCAAGAATAGGTAATAGTTACGGATAAGATTAGGCCGTCTACAATTAATATAAGTCAATTCAAAGACTTGTGTGTGTGTGTGTGAGGACCAGTTTGAGCCCACAACCTACAGAGTGAGGACATTTTGGCCGGTCCTCACTTTGTGACTGCCCCCCCCCCCTTTAGTGGACTGTTTTGGGGTTAAGACTTGGTTTTAGGGTTAGGGTTAGAATTAGGCTTAGGTTAGGTTAAAGCTAGGTTAGGCATTTACGTGTGATGGTTAAGGGTTAGAGCAAGGGGCTAGGGAATGCACTTGAATGAGTGTCCTCACTAGGATATAAGTACAGACGTGTGTGTGTCTGTGTGTGTGTGATGCCATAAATAGTTCACATTTAGCTGTAAGGCAACAGTTGCACATCAAGGACCAAAAACAGATGTGTGTTACACTGAAAACATGATTGTTCATGTGTCTTTGTCCAGTGATATTTAAGTATCTGTCCTTTAGCTGCAGACCCCTGGAACTCTACTACTACTACTCCACTCGTCTACCTCTCCTCCACACACACACACACACACACACACACACACACA